TCGCCAGACCCACCCAGCGCACGAGGCAGCAAAGAGGTGGCAACGGGAGGCAACGTGGCGAAACCTTGCAAGACCCGCCCAGAGCACGAGGCGGCAACGACGCGGCAACAGGCGGCAACGTTGAAAACGATCGCCAGACCCAACCAATTCGTCACGGAGACAACTGATAACCCACCGCGGACAAAAAAAAACCCGGGGAACACGTCAGCACGGTGCCCAGGCTGAGGTGGGCAAATCTTCTCTCCATTGAATTGGCGAGAACGAGATCTCAAACACTCAGAGTTTGGACACTGAGAACATCGCAGAGGATCCGCACGACACGCTTCTGCTCGACACCCTGGCGTGCAAATGCGTCGGCGCAAAAGCGCCGTGGCCGGTGTCCGGTGAGCGGCAAGAGGAGGTTCTGCAGAGTCCTGCGAGCCATTAGCAGGAGGACGGGGGGGGGGAGGGGGGGAGGGGCGAGGACGAGGGAGGAGGGCGAGGATGGGGGGGGGAAGGGGCGAGGACGAGGGAGGGGGGCGAGGACGAGGGGGGGGGAAGGGGCGAGGACGGGGGGGAGAGCGAAGGGAGGGAGGGGGGACGAAAGGCGAGCAGGACAAGGAGGGAGTGGCAGCGGCGAGAGGAGCTTCACCCCGCGCGCCCCGAGGCCACTCAGAGCCTGCTGCCTGGGCAGTGAGTCGGGCCCGTGGGGCCGTGCGGAGATCTGCCCAACAGGCGCCCCCGTTGCCGCGCTGCGCGGCGGGCGGAGAGCCAGAAGGAGGGCCGAGGAGGAGGTGGTTCAAGAGGGAAAAACACACACAGAGACACAATGAATCGTCGATTCCCCAGAAAGTATGGGACAATACGGGAAGTGGGGGGGAAGACAAAAGCCCAGAACATATAAGAAACTATGGGGGATCCGGTTATTTGTGTGTATTCATTTGTGTGTCCCGGGGCCCCTTCAGTGGTCACCACCCACCAAACCGCCCCAGCCCGACCCGAAGGCTTCTTCTTGCCCTCGATTTCCAGGGGGGGGGGTCGTTGAACATTGAAAAGCACAGAAGGGAGCCGTACACCCCCCCAACCCGAAATGCGGGTCTTCGGGTCGGGGTGGTCTGGTAGGCAGTCAGGTGGAGTGCGGAGGTGGGTAGGAGGGGGCGGAGGAACCAGGATAAGGAGGAGGACTAAGGCGGATGAGCAGGTCTGGCAAGAGAGGAGGCATATAAGAACGATGAGGGATGGTTAGTCGCATGGGGAGGTTGTGCGTCTGGCGGGTTCCAACGTCGACTTCGATGGATGTAGAACTCGTTGGGGAGGGAGGGGTGAGGAGGGTAACTTGCCATCGGGATGATGAGAAGGAAACAACGTTGAGGAAGACAAAGAGGAGACGACTGGCGGGGATGGTGTCCGAGGATGAGTGCGACGATGAGGAGTAGGCGAATCGACGAATTATCGACGGAGGGAGTGCGATGATGTTGTGGAGGAACACGGAAAGGATAATTCCATCGAGGAGCATGAGGACCTTGATACGTATGAGGATCGGCCTTCCAGGCCTTGTGGGCCCTCTTGGTACCGTTAGAGGCCATCGAGCATGAACGAGGGCGGCACGACTTATGGCTCCCCTAGTCCGCGCATGACAAATCTTCTTTCGGGGCACTCTGAAGACGCTGTTGGGGCGCTTTAGTGCGCTCTTGGGGCCTTATTGAAGCTCTTCGGAGGATTTCGTGGTGTTCTCTTGGGTGATCGTGGAGCCACCTTGAGGTCCCAGAAGCCCATAGCAACCTAAAAGGCGAAGAGGCAAGATCTTTGAACAACCCTTCTGGTTTAGGGCCTAGGGTATTCACTGATTCTGGCATCTTGGGTGCTTCCTTGGGAGGCTTCGGGGCGTTTTGGGGCAGTCTATGGGCCGTCTTGGGGCCTCCTGGAGGCATGCTGGAGGCCGTTTCGAGCCAAGCTCGACAGTATTGCACCCTCGCGGAGGTCCTCTTTCGGCTTCTGGGGCCATCTTGGAGCGATCTCGGTCCCACAGCCTCGAAATAGTACACCCGAAAAGCCACCATCTTTGAAACCCTCTCAGGTTTTCCATTTTCGAGTTTGGCAATGGGCGAAGGGCGGCACTCAGTCAGGCTCCCCCCGTCGGAGCGTGAAACGTCTCTTTTGGGGGGCGCTCTCAGGGCCGAGTGGAGCCTTTACGAGGCTCTTCATTGAGCTCCCCAGGGGCGAGCTTGCAACCAGACTGAGGCCCCAACGGCTCATCGGGAGCGGCACGGCCAACATCATCGGACCACATGGTGCATGCTTTGAACGTGTATATGTGTGTGCGCGTGCGCGTGCGCGTGCGCGTGCGCGCGTGTGTGTGTGTGTGTGTGTGTGTGTGTGTGTGTGTGTGTGTGTCTGTGTTTGTGTGCGCGTGTGTGCGCGTGTGTGTTTGTGTGTGTGCGCGCGTGCGTGCGTGCGTGCGGGCGGGCGGGCGGGCGGGCGGGCGTGTGCGTGCGTGTGTGCGTGTGCGTGTGCGTGTGCCTGAATGTGTGTGTGTTTGTGTGTTTGTGTGTGTGTGGGGGGGGGGGTGCGTGCGTGTGCGTGCGTGCGTGCCGGTGCGTGTGTGTGTGTGTGTGTGCTGCCCCGTCGGGAGTCTTCTCGGGAGGCTCCGTGGCCAATCAGAGCCGGCTTATGCAGTGAGAGCCCATGCCCAAAACCACCTTGGTTGCCTTCAGGGTGCCCTGGGTTTCTTGGGCTTTGATGGTTTGCTGTGAAAAGGGTGACAAGACTTGTAACATTTTATCTGTGCTTGGAGCCGGCGACGCCGAAGGTTTCGCATTGGTGGTCACATTATCATCGTTATGCCACTCCGTGCAGGATATCTCACAGGTTTGCTGCGCATCGCCACGGCGCAGTGCGAGCGGCCCATTTGTAGATACTGTCGTGCCACCCTCTTTTGCCACTGCACCTCTGACGTGCACGGCTTCTCTCTCTCTCTCTCTGTGGAAAGCGTGACGTTCCCATGCCAGAAATCAATGGACGTCCTGGGGTCTCAGGATTGGGTTTCTTGTGGAAAGTTTCCGGTGCCTTGACCTCCACTGTATTTGGTAGATCTTCAAGGCATGACGGAGGCCATCTTGAGTTCTCTTGGAGGCCATCTTGGGCCACGCGCATAGGGGGGTGGGGAGGGGGGAGGGATTCTTAGAAGCACCCCTGCTTCTTAGAAGGCGTGGGCCTTACCTGTAGATACACGGTCGCCGCCTTCTAAGAAGCAGTCTCCTTCTAGGAAGTCCTCCCTCCTCCCTTCACCTCCTTGTGCGCGCCGCTAACTCCAGTCGGCGGACGACCACAGACCCGGCGTGGGGCGGACGGACTCCAAGACTGCCCTAGGCGCCGCCAAAACGGACCCAGACGGCCAGACCAGACAGGACGCGATAAGATGAGGCGACACCTTGGAAGCAGAAGACACGCCAAGACGGCCTCCAGGTCGGCCCAAGATGGCCCCAGGACACCGCCGAGACGGCCCCCAAGAGAGGCCAATACCTCTCACACTGTTTGGTGGCAAACAGTGAACGTTACCTCCGAAGCCTTGTTGCTCCCGAAGGGCTTCAAGATGGCCCCATGATAGCTCCAAGACGGGGCCATGTCGGCCCCACAGGCACCCAAGGTGACTCCCAAACGACCCAAGAGAGCCCTCGGAGGGCTCCAAATCAAATCCAAACGTCCTGGGCGCCTGTCGGGCCCAGTGGCGGCCCCAGGCGATCCAGAGCGGCTTCCCAGACTTTCCCAAGATGCCTAAAATAAGCTCTCAGGCAGCTCTAACATGGTATAGATAGACACCCCGAGTGCATAGCTTATCCTGGTGGCAGCTTCAAAGGCCCAAAAGAGCCCTAAGCCCGTCCACATCTCGAACAGGCCGACTGTATCGCGTCCTTGGGACCAAACTGACCCCAAGAGGCCCCTACAAGCCCTCCTAAGAGGTCTGCATGCAGAGGCAACCAAAAGGCTTCCAAGAGGCCCCCGAGCAACCCCCAATTTGTCCCCAGACGGCCTCATGAGGCGGGTGCGGGGAGCCTTCCGAGGCGGGGCATGGGGAGGGGCCAACCCTTCCCAGAAGGAGAACTGGGGGGTTGGAAGAACAAGCGGTCTGCACACTTATCGAAGAAGAACAAACGGCACAAACATAGGATTCCCTTCGGGGATCATCCGTTAAAATTGGAACGACACAGAGAAGATTAGCATGGCCCCTGCGCAAGGATGACACGCACAAGTCGAGAACTGTATACACTTTATATACAAGTAACTAATACATACATAAGAAGTGGATTTTTTTTGTTTTTAAAAAGGGGGGAAACAAAACAAACAAAAAAAACGGCGGCATCAACATCTATTTTTGGCGCTCCTCGCGGATTTCTTGGCTCTCCGCGCCTGGGCCCCCCGTGGCGGCGCCTCCGGCGCCGCCCAGCTGGTGGCGCTCCGCACGCCAGGGCGGGCACCAGGCGCGGAGACCCAAGACACCCGCGCGGAGCGCCGCGTGTTGCTCGGGCCGCCAGACGAAAGGGGGGGATAGGGAAAGACTGGTCTACTCTGTAAGAACGGTTTTTTGAAGGCAGATCTGCCTTCAAAAAACCGTTCTTACGGGGTACGAAATCTGCTGCATGCAGCTGGTTTCGGCCCCACCGAGGGGCCCCTTTCTCGATGCATAGTCGCCTCCCGGCGCCGGGAGGCGCCAGGAAAATCAGCTACGTGAGCTGATTCTCAGACCCCCAATCCCCCCTTTCGCCCGACCCGAGAAACCCGCGCGGAACGCCACATGTTTCTGTGTGTGGCGATTTTTGTTTTTTCCTTCGGGCCGACGCCCTTAGTGCGGGTGGGATCGGGAGGCAGATCGACTTGGCCTTACGCTGGGCACGTCCCCCTGCAGGAGGACTATTCCAGAACAGTCGGAAGATAGTCCGGGGACGATTTGTTGATTTGTTGTTCGAATCTCATGTTTTGACCAGCTTTTGCTCTTCCTCCCAAATCCGCCCGTAGGAGGACACGCCCGACCCAAAGCCGGCCGTGCGCAGGCTCTTAGCCTCGAGGAGCTCGCGGCCCCCCCGATGCGCCCATGAGGAGCCCCCGGGCTGGCGGCCTCCTCCGCGGCGCCGAGGGGCCCCGGCCCCATGGCGCGGGCCGGGAGGACCGAGGGAGGCAGCCGCCCGCGGACATGACGACCGAGTACCTGAACGAGATCCTGGCGTCGTCCTCCCCGCCCGACCTGGAGACTCGGGGCGCCGAGGTTCGGCGGCGAGCGAGGTTTTGGCTTCGAGGTTCTGGGCGTTCGGGCCCTCTCCTGGTGTCTGGGCGGTCTGCCGCCCTCGGGGATGCGTCCCAGCGGCTGCGCCTCGCCGAGAGCGCTCTGGGGATGGATCCTCCCGAGCGGCCGCCAGAGACCCGAGCTATGACCCGAAAACCAAATTCGGCGGCGAGCGAGGGGGGGGGGGCAGCGAGAAGCGGCGGGCCTGTTCAGAAGGCCGCGGAGGTCCGCCGGCCTGCTGAGAAGTTTTCTGGGCCTCCCGCGAAGACGGAGGAAAGACTTCTCGGAGGGCGCGGGAGCTTCTGGGAAGTCCCGCCGCCTTCTGAGTAGGCCTTCTCCTGCTCGTCCCCCCCCCCCTCGCTCGCCGCCGAGTTCGGGGCGCCGGAGCGGCGGGAAAAGCGGCCCGGGCGGGGAGCAGCTCGGCCCCCCCTCGGTCGCGCCCCCTTCGGGGGCCTGCCGCCGACGCAGCGGCGATGCCGGGCCGACCAGGGTATCCGACGTGGTGAGTTCTGCTGTCGCGGCGTGGTCCCTCAGAGGTCTGGATCCCATCAGGGGGAGGAGGAGGAGGAGGAGGAGGAGGAGGAGGAGGAGGAGGAGGAGGAGGAGGAGGAGGAGGAGGAGGAGGAGGAAAGGAGGAGGAGGAGGAGGGGGCTCGTCGTCCTGCGCTGTTCTGTGCACGGTCCCAGGGCCCAGTGAGGGCCCCCTCCCGCAGGCTGAACAGCATTGCCAAGAATTGTCCGTGGTGGCCTGTTTCGCGACGCGGGGGGCGAGAGGGGCTGTTGTGCCCCCAGCCCCACCCTCTTGGCCAGCCCCCCTCCCCCCATTGGCGGCCCGTCAGCCTGTGTGGCGTCGCTGCCCTGGTCGCTTGGGACGCGCGCAGCGATTCTCGGGGCCAGGGGGGGCACAGAAGCTGCGACCAGTTGCCCCCTCTTCCTCGTCCTCCTCCTCGCCTTCCTTCTCCTCCCGTGCTGGCGCCCAGCACGGAGGAGTCCCCTCCTCCCCAGCGGGGGCTTCGTCCAGCCAGGAACGTAAGTTTTCGACCTCGGGGCCGCCGATCTATCGACGCTGCATCCTCGATCCCAGGCCGACGTCTCCTCCGTCCCCCCACCCACATGGGGCCAATGGGCCACGCGCCCCCCCTTCCCTTTCACCTAAGCTCCGGCGCCCGATACGATTGTGTTGATCCGCGTCTGGTGATCCCGCCCTGTTCTCCCCCCCCAGACCCCCGACGTCATGATTCGTTCACGACGTCGACCCCACGAGGTCTGGACCCATTCCCTGGAACCAGCTTTTCATCCTGAGTCGTTTTGTTGACGGTCCCGAGGCCCGGCAGGGGCCCCCCGATGCCGAAAATAACGAAAAACCTCCCGTCGTGATTTTCTCATGATTCGAGGGGGCTGCGATCGTCCCGAAAGCGGAAGCTGCGGGGGCCAGCACAATGGAACACCGCCGCGGTTGCACCGAGAATTCGTCGGAGGTCTCCGGGCCAGGGCCCTTCTTGCCCCGCCCCAGGATTACGTCGGGCATGTCCTTCTAATTACAGGAGGAGTATTCAGAATTTGTCAAACATAGTCTGGGGACCTATGTTTCATTTTCCGTCCAAAATCCCCCTGTAAGAGGACATGCCCCGCCGAACCCCAGGAGTACCTGACCCAGTACCTGAACGAGATGCTGGCCTCGGGCCAGAGGCGGCCTGCACGGGCGCCAGCCGGGCATCTGCACCGACCCTGGTCGACGATCCTGATGGGCCTGCTTTCCACCACCACCACCACCACCATCAGCTGGAGGAGAAGGGTGTCCTCCTCCTCCACCTCCTCCTCCTTCTCCTCTTCGTCCTCCTCCTCCTTCCTCCCTCCAACTTATGGTGGTGGTGGCGGTGGAAAACGGACCCATCGGATCCTGTGCCCAGGCTGGTCCTGGGCAGGATCCCAGAGATCCGATGTGCGTGTCTCTGCTTCCACGCGGGGCTCGTGGACGCCCCGTTTCCACATGCACAGGGCCAGCGCTGCCTCAGCAGGAGCCGTAACCCCAGGAAGCATTGAAGAACCCCCCCGGCGATATCTTAGCACCGCATTTTTATTCGATATTCCGAGGGGCCGAAATAACCGCACGATAGGTTTAGCACCCGGACAGGCCCTGACAGGCCTTGGGCCCCGAGGGAAGGAGGGGGGCGCGGGAGGAGGAGGAGGAGGAGGAGGAGGAGGAGGAGGAGGAGGAGGAGGAGGAGGAGGAGGAGGGGGCAGGAGGAAGTTCGTGGGTGGAGGAGAGGAGGAGGAGGAGGAGGAGGAGGAGGAGGAGGAGGAGGAGGAGGAGGAGGAGGAGGAGGAGGAGGAGGAGGAGGAGGAGGGCTCCTGGTGCCAGGTAACGCTTCCAGGGTGCGGAAGGGTTATCGATTTGCCGGAAGGGGGGGGGGGGTTCTTAAATGCTTCCTGGGGTTATCCTCGGACGCTCCCGGGGCCAGGGCCAGGGGCCCGTTGGATGCATGGAGCCGATGCCAGGACGTGTGCCTTCTCAGGATCCGTGCAGGTGCTTTCGCCGACGAGCCACGGGGGGGAAGTCGGAGGGGCGCCGTTCTCCCCGCCCGACCTGGAGCTCGGGGCGCCGAGGCTCCCTTGGGTCTTCCGGCGTTTTCGTGGTGTCTGGGCGGCTTGCCGCCTTCGGGGTGTGTCCCAGCCGCTGAGCCTCGCCGAGGGCGTTCCAGGGATGCCCGGATCGCCCCGTCCGGCCGCCAGAGACCCGAGCCATGACCCGGAAAGCAGAGTTCGGCGGCGAGCGAGGGGGGGCAGCGAGAGGGGGCGGGCCTCGTCAGGAGGCTCGGGAGGCCCCCCCGGGCTTCACTTCTGACAGGTACTTGAGCCTCCCCCGAAGACGGAGACGGCGTCTCAGAAGGCCAGAGGGTTTCTGGGAAGCCCCGCCGCTTCCTGAGAAGGCCCGCTCCCTCTCTCACTTCCCCCCCGAGCTCGCCGCCGATGTAGAAGTCGGGATCGATGGTAAGTATGGGTCACCTTCTCCAAGGGTGCCCTGACATCCTCGCCTCTTCGGTCCTCCCTTCATCACATTCCAGGGCCAGCCCCGCGCGAAAAAAGCTTCGACGTGGGCGTCTGATGGGCTGGCTTCCTCATCGCGCATCCTGGCTATCCATTCCGACTGCATCTCTGGCGCCCTCCGAGGCTGAGCCACTCCAGGGAGCGGCGGGCGCGAGGCGGGCGCGAGCGGTCGCCTGGCCGCCACTCGTCGCGCCAGCGGCGGGAGCGGCGCCGGCCGAGGGCCGACGTTGGGGATGCCGCTGGCAGGCATCGGCTACAACGCGCGTTTTCGGATGTTCCCTTCCGGCACGATCGCCACGGGTACGGAATTGGGCGCCGCGTAATGGGGGGGTCAGGGGGGGTGGCGAGGGTGGTTCGAAAAGGTACCCAAACGGTACCTAAACGAGCCCCCTGGGGCTCTGGAGGGGCCCGAAAGGGGCACGAAAGGGGACCTTTTCTGACCCCCATTTGTGACCCCCCCATTAAGCCACGCCCAACGGAAAGAAAGGGTGCGAGGACCGACAGCAGTTCCTGCCCATCTTGGACAGGATCTGCTGTCGGCGTCGCCGCAGACGTTATCAAGCAGAGACGGAAGGCCGCCTGCCCAACAGCGGCTTCTGTCGGACAGCTCGGCGGCGCGCCCAGTGGGGGAAGCGAGAGGGGGCGGGCCTTCTCAGAAGCTGGCGGGTCCCTCGGGCCCTCTGAAAAGCTGTCTCCGCCTTCGGGGAAGTCTCAGAGAACTTCTCAGGAGGCTGTAGGCCTTCCGAGCCTTCTGAGAAGGCCCGCCCCCTTTGACTTCCGCCCCGGGTCTCGCCGCCGAACAACACGTAAGACGTGTTTGGGTGCATTCCCGCAGCTGCACCTCGCTGAGAGCGTCCCCGACGGCCAGCGGGAGCCCGAGGAAAGACACGGAAGCCAAGTGACCTTTCGCCGATGTTGTTGCGCACCGCGCAGCGATCGGCGTGCCATTCACCAAAGGTTACTCTTGCCCGGGATCACTCCCTGACATCTGGTGCCTTGGTGTTTCCAAACGGAGCCCTCGGAGGTCCCAATCATTCCCCACAGCCAGCTTTTCACCCTGAGACGTTGCCTAACGGCCCCGGCCCATCAACGGTCCCTGCAGAAGTCCGACACTTGCGAAACACGTTCATTTTTTTTTTTTGTCAGGCCGTTGGATGCCTGGGCTCCCTTGAGATCCGACGTCACGACCGAACCCTCGGTTTCATCTCTCTCTGCGACATGCCTCGAGCCAGATCGATCCGTGAGGGTCCCCTGGCGCCCGAAAAAAAGCCAAATTGCGACGACGGGGTCTGACTCAGGGTTCTTGCGCGTAGCCTTCAGTCGGGCCTGTCCCGCTGCGGGAGGAATATACGAAATAGCAAAAAACACAGTTTGGGGACGATTTTTCTACCGCTTTTGACTATGCTTGAGCATTGCTTTTTCCTCCAAAATCCGCATGTAGGAGGACACGCCCGACCTAAGCGTAGCCCAAGGCAGCGCAGCTCGTCGGCCAGCGCACGCGGCGAGGGCCCCGCGCCGCCGCCGGCGCGGAGCCCCTCTGGGCAGGGCTGCCCGCGGCCAGCGCAGGCTGCTCCCTGCGGGGCTCCCGCGCCCTCTCTTCTCCCCCTCCTCCTCCCCCTCCTCCTCCTCATCCTCATCCTCCCCCTCTTCCTCCTCCTCCTCCTCCTCCTCCTCCTCCTCCTCCTCCTCACCTCCTCCCTCCTCCTCCTCCTCCTCCTCCTCCTCCTCCCCTCCTCCTCCTCCTCTCCTCCTCCTCCTCCTCCTCCTCCTCCACCACCTCATCATCATCCTCATCCTCCCCCTCCTCTTCCTCCTCCTCCTCCTCCTTCTTCTCCTCCTCCTCCTCCCCCTCCTCCTCCTCCTCCTCCTTCTCCTCCTCCCCCTCCTCCTCCTCCTCCTCCTCCCCTCCTCCTCCTCCTCCTCCTCCTCCTCCTCCTCCCCCTCCTCCTCCTCCTCCTCCTCCTCCTCCTCTCCTCCTCCTCCTCCTCCTCCACCACCTCCATCATCCCCATCCTCCCCCTCCTCTTTCCTCCTCCTCCTCCTCCTTCTTCTCCTCCTCCTCCTCCGCCTCCTCCACTCCTCCTCCCCCTCCTCTCCTCCTCCTCCTCCTCCCCTCCTCCTCTCCTCCTCCCCTCCATCCTCCTCCTCCTCCTCCGCCTCTTTCCTCCCTCATCCTCCCCCTCCTCTTCCTCCTCCTCCTCCTCCTCCTCCTCCTCCTCCTCTTTCTCTTTCTCCTCCTCCTCCTCCTCCTCCTCCTCCTCCTATCCTCCCTCCTCCTCCTCCTCCTCCCCCCCTCCTCCTCCTCCTCCCCCCCTCCTCCTCCTCCTCCTCCTCCTCCTTCTCCTCCTCCTCCTCCTCCTCCTCCTCTTCCTCCTCCCCCCCTTTCGTAGTCATTGTGGCTGAAGGCCAAGCTGGTGTTCCGACGACTGCCTTCGCGGGGTAGGTTCCGTTACTTCCTAGTGTTCATCGTGTTTGCAGCTACCACCAGGGGCGAGCTGCCGCCCACCTCCATATTTGCAGCTACCCACAGGGGCGAGCTGCCGCCCAGTCCATCCGTCTGGTGCCTCCGCGACGGTCTGGAAGCAGAATGGCTCCCAAACCTCACCGACACCGATCGCGTGGCCCTCGACCCCCGCAGTATCGAGGCCCGCGTGCTGAGTACGCACACGAGTATACGATATGCAAGCAGTGCCGCTATCGATGGACATGGAGGGACAAAAGCAAATGCTTCGTTTGTGGCAAGACCTTCGCCCCGTCGCCTGCGGAGCACAGGCAGCCCGAAGGTACGTGGGCGGCCGAGCCATGGCGGACCCGTTCGCCACCGGCTAAGAAGGAGCTGCCCCCGTCCAAGGACAGCATCCTCTACGCCATCACATCGCTCCTCGCGGAGGACGGGAAGCACAAAGTGATGGCCGGCCAATTCAAGCAAGCACTTCAAGAACCTGAGCAGCCACCACCTGCGCGTTCCGCAGAGCAGGCTCTCCAGTCGGCCCTCTCCGCCCCCACGGACCGCGAGCGCAAGTTCCAACAGTCCGTGGACGACGTCGAGGAGGCGCAGCGGTGGCTCGACACCGCCAAAGAGCGCCAGGAGCAAGCCGCGCTCGAGCTGGTCGAGGCCAAGCGTGCGTGCGAGCTGGCGCAGGAGGAGCAGCGCCGCAAGCTGGGAGGAGATGCAGTGCCTCGCGAACCGCAGCCAGCCATCGAGCTCTTCCGCATCGACACCTCGATATGGGACGACCTCGGCAAGTATGACGATGCCACCAGGATCCGGATGGAGCAGTGGAAGAAGGACCTGGACGACCGCATCGGGGCCCTCAATGAAGGCCAGGACCACGTACGCGACATCATCCGCAAGGCCAAGGAGCCCCCCCCCCCCCCCCCGATACCCCGCCAAGCGCATGCGGTGCGCTGAACAAGAGCCTGAAGCACCTCCTGCCCATGAGCAGCAACCTGGCGCTCCTGCTGGCGCAGCTCCTCGGTCGCCAAGGCCAAGCAGATGGCCACCGTGGCGGCCGAGGGCAAGGGCAAGGCCGCTGACGCAGACGCACCCGCAGGCTCGCAATGTGGGCAGCCCCGCTAGGCCAGGGGCGGCAGCCAAGGGTCGCCCAAGGGACTCCAGCGACAGGGCGCATATCCTCTTCGCCAACATTACGGAGTGGGGCCCGCAGGCGGCGAACTACTGTCGCACCGTCGGCTTCCAGTGCCACATCATCGCCCTCGCAGAGACGCGCGTGGACGCCAAGGGCCTCGGCGAGCTCCACGGGGAGCTCGCCATGGACGGCTGGAAGCTAGCGGCTACCCCAGCCCTTCCGACGCACAAGCCCGACAAGGGCGCCCACGGTGGCGGTTGGATACTCGCCAGGCGCGGCGTGGCGGCCACCGCCTTCGAGGGCTACAGAGAGAGCACTACCCCGGCATCCACCAGCGCCAGCCCTTCGTGGGGTTCCCCCCAGCCACCTTGCGCACTAAGAGCGGCAACGTCGTGACCGTTGCCGCCTACCTGCGGCCTGGCCTCCGTGACAAGGGAGCCAATGGGGGCATCCTCATTTCGATGTCCACGTTCGTGGACATGCTCGCCGACCCCTGGATAACCCGGGCCGGCTGGAACTACGAGCCGACACGGTGGACCGACAGGCTGCACGGTCGCAACCGACCCCTGCTGCACGGCCGCGTGCGACAGGGGCAAGGGCTCCGTCTACGACTGCGCGATCGTCAGGAGGGGCATCGCCACCCACATCGCTGTCCAGGCCGTATTCGACGCGCCGTGGAAGACCCGCTGCGGCATCCAGGTCGCTTTCGGGGCCGCCGGGCCGTGGAGCTACAAGGCTGTCGAGGTCCCCAAGGCCCCCCCCCCGCGCGAGCCCGGCCCAGGAAGGGCCCCGACCTTCTCAGCGGAAAGTCGAATGCTCGCGCAGGGGCGCTGAGAACCAGGATGGAAAGGCTGCCCGAACACCTGCGCGAGGAGTTCGACGCCCTCCAGGTCACCGACGACACCCCCCCTGAGGACGATGTGCCGTTCATCGCCCCCAGCACCGACTGGGGCAGGGCCGTCGGCGTCGTCGACGCCCACCCCAAGTTCGAGGGCCACCTCGCGGGCACCAAGGAGGGCAGGGGGCACATCTTCCACGCGCACGCGCCCAACACCGCGAAACAGATCAACACAGCCCACGCGCAGTGGATCGCGGCGCTGGAGATAGCCTTCCTGGAGACGCACAACGTCCCCGCCGAGGAGAGGGCCAAGTACCAGGGCAGTGCGCAGGGCTACAAGACCGCGCGCCATATCACGAAGGCGACGCCAGGGATGGTAGCTGCACCCCAGTACGCTCCGCATTCGCTACGCTGCCCTGGTCACCAGCGAAAAGGGCACCCACTCCCAGGGGCAGCTCAGGAAGAACATCCAGGCGAAGTTTGCCCAGCTCGACAGCAAAGACTCCCACCATGGCCACTTTTGCTCCATGGTCGACCCCGCTGAGGTATACGCGCGGAAGCTGCAGGTCGCCCCTTTAGACTTCTGCGACGAAGGGGGGCTGTTCCACATGCGCGCCACCACGGCGGCGGGCCGAACCCGCGAGCGCGACCTCGACTGGGCCAAGCGGGCTTGGAAGCAGCCCCACTGGCAAGCTCCACCGCATTGTGGCGGGCCCGAGCCCCCCCCCCCCCCCCCGAAGCTCGAGCCCGAGCTCGACGGTGGCGGCGGATCTGGTCCACCAACACCTGCGACGAGGAGCCGATCATCCAGTCCTACCTCGAGGCCGCGCGGCATGCTCAGGGGGCCCCCCCCCCCCCCCATCGAGCCGCAGCGCATCTACGCTGTGGTCGGCGTTTCCGACCCCAAGAAGGCGCGCGGGGTTGACGACGTCGAGCCCCTGGGCAACCAGCGCCTGTCGCCTAGGGCATCGAGAAGCTCGCGGCGATCTACAACTTCGTGGAGTCCAGTGGGCTGTGGCCCCAGCAGCTCTGCGCCGCTGCGGGAGCGATGGCCCCCAAGCCAGCGGGCGGGGGGCGCGTCCTCGGCACGCCCCCCCGCAGTCGCTAAGACGCGGGGCAAGCCCCGCGCCGCCATTGCCGACCAGCGGTCCAGCCCGCTCGGCGAATTCCAGGGCACTGCGATCAAGGGCACCTGCGCCCAACGTGCTGATTTCACGAGGGCGCCCCCAGACGAGACGGCGGCGGCCCTTGGCTTCTCCTGCGCCACCCTCCCCGTGGACGTTGAGAAGTTCTACGATTCGGTCAGCGTCGCGAAGCTCCTCGACACGGCCATCCAGGTCAAGTTCCCTCCTGCCGCGGTGGCCTTGGAGGCGCGGCTCTCCCCCGCGCCCAGGCGCCAGCGGGCGCGCGGGTGGGCCAGCGACGCCATCGACCCACAGCGCCCCATTGTTGCGCGCAGCGCCCACGGCGGGAAGTTAGCCACGAGGGCCAACCAGAACTGCACTTGCGCTGGACTCTGGGCCTTCGTAGACGACGCTGTCGCCAGGGCCGACGTGGAGCCCGAGCAGGTCGCCAAGGACCTCGCCGCTGGCGGAGCGATCGTTTGCAGCGGCACGGTGGAGGCGGAGCTCAAGGTGTCGCCGAAGACCACCGTCATCGTCTTCAGCCCAGCGGTGGCGCTAGATGTCCACGCCGCCCTCAAGCGAGAGGGAAACCCCATTCGGGTCACCAGCGCCTCCGTCGACATAGGCGTCGGCACCGTCGGGGCGGGCTGGAGGGCGGCGGCGACGGCTGCCAAGAGGGCGCTCGCGGCGAAGCGGAAGACAGGCCGCAGCATTGCCAAGATCCGCAGGCACGCCTCGCTTGCCAAGGTCGCGAAGGGCCCCTGGACCGCGGGGGGCTCCAGACCGCAGGGGGTGCACGGCCGCCAGGTCACGGGCCTCTCCCCGAGCGCCATCACCCAGCAGCGGCGCCAAGCCGCCCAGGCGATCGCGGGCAAGGTCCCTGGCAGGTGCCTCACCACCACGCTCGCCGTGCTCCGAGGCGACAAGGGCCCTGGCATCGAGCTCCGCAGGCAGACCATCCTGGAGTGGCTCTCCTCCTGGTTCGCCAACCCGAACCACCGCGAGCGCGTCGCCCACGCTTGGAGATTCATCTTCGCGAAAGCCATCGGCTACGCAACAAGTGCTGGCGCCAGGTGGTCGGCCCCATCTCTGCCGCCCAGGCCATCCTCGTGGGCGCAGGGCGGGGCCCCCCGCCCCCTTGCGAGTGGCCCTGCCAGCCTCGCGAAGGTGAGCAGGCCGAGCAGACGGGGCTCCTACCTCACAAGGGCTGCGCCGACTGGGGGCACCGCCGCGGGCCCTTCGCAGTTGGCCCTCGAATTCTGCCAGACCATCGAGACTGGCTGCTGGAACGATGCAGCGAAGCACCTCGACGGCGATGGGCTCCAGCGAGGCGGAGCCGACGTGCAGGCAGTCACCGGCGAGACGAGCACGTTCATGCGCAAGGGCCAGTTCGACCAGTGGGCCCTCAACCTGCGCGTGGTCGCGGGGGCGCAGCGGTTCAGGGAGAGGCCCGCCTGCGCGGGCTACCAAGCGAATGCGGCATGCCCGAGAGGTGGCGCGCCTTCCGAGACCCTGGTGCACAGGGCCTGGCTCTGCCCCTCCAAGCGCGACCACGAGGATCACCAGACATCTGACGCGCTCCTCCCCTCTGCCCTCGTGGCCTGGCCGGCCGTGCGGACGCGCGCCCTGTCTTCGTCGCTCTGGGCGGGGGCGGGGGGCGGAGCGGGGGTGGGCGGGATTGGGGGGGGGGGCGCGCCGACTCGGACGGCCTCCTAACCTTGCGTGGAGACGGATCGGGAGGGAAGCTTAGAGCCGACCCCCGCCGCCGCAGGGTGGGGGCCGCCGTGATCGCCATGAAGAGCCACTTCGGGGAGTGGGTCCCTTGGGGTGGCGCAATGTCGGGCCTCAAAGGCCATTTTCAAATTGTCCCGCGTGATCAGCTCTTATCTTTCGCGCTGGCGCTCGAGCATTCCTTTGGCGACCTCCGCTGCGTCACGGATAACGCGCCGCTCCTGGGCGGGCGGAGGTCGAGCCGCCACTTGTGCCCCCGCGGCGCCAACCTAGACCTATTGCAGCGCAAAGGCGAGGTAGTAAGGAATCGCGGCCCTGGCTCTGTCGCGGTGGCATGGGTGCCCTCCCGCAGTGAGGACGCCCAGAACGCGTCCACCGACCCTGTCCGCTTTGCCCACGCGCTAGGCAATGCTTGCGCCGACGCGTGGGCTGGCGCTGCCACTTAGCGCGCGCGGGGGGCTGCCATCTTCGGCGCAGCCCCGCCTACTGACCCACGCGACACCCGGCGTGCGCGCCCGGATCCGCCGCCGCGCACGCCGCTCGCTCGCGGACACACTGGCGGTGGGCCCCTGGGTCGCGGAGCGACCCTCGCAGGCCAGAGGCCCGCGGTTTACCGTGCTACAGCGTGCCGTGCAGTCCAGTAGCCACCCCATCGAGCTCTATGCGAGCAAGTACAGGTGCTCGACGTGCGGGCTCACTGCCGACAAGCGTGCCGTTCGCCCAGCATGCGCCATTATGTACCAGTCCTCCTCCTCCTCCTCCTCCTCCTCCTCCTCCTCCTCCTCCTCCTCCTCCTCCTCCTCCTCCTCCTCCTCCTCTCTCGCCCTCTCTCCCCCTCTTCCTCTTCTCTTCCTCCTGACAGGCACATCGACCTTTTCCCCGTCAGTCGAATAAGGACATACTCTAGACCTCCTCGATGGGGTCGGAGTATGTAGATGGGGTCGGAGGATCGTGCCGCATCTCCGGTGCATCGGCGATGCGGCTCGATGTGGGGCTCAATTTTCTCCACGCCGACGTCGTTGATGCATCGCTTACGTCGCCAGTGCAGCGCCGATGAAACGCCGATGCATCGCCGATGTATCGGCGATGCGGTGCGATCATCGGACCCCATCTGCTCCGACCCTATCTAGGAGGCCTCTACAAGCTGCATAAACATAAACTGGCGACGGTCAGCGCGGACCGTCGACAGTTTATGTTCATACCGCTGCTTCTTCCTCTAGTCACGCGCAGCAAGGGCTAGGTTTGCCGAGCGGAGTTGAAGCTCGGCACGCGACTCGTCAGGGGCGGTGCTGGGAATTCCGTCTCAATCTCACGGTATGGTTTATCAGCCACCTTGCTTGAGGATGGCAACCAGTGCCTGGCGCTTGGTCCCCTCCACGGGCTCTGGCACCCACAAGCCAGTGGACTTCTAACAAGTCCATCGTCCATATCCTCCCTCCTGCATTTGCCCCCTCCTCCTCCTACTGACCTAAACTCCTCCTCGTTCTCTGCTGATGCGCGTGTTTCGAGTGCGCTGCTTGCTCCTTCCCTTCCTCCACCACCACCGTCACTGATTTCAGAATCTGAGCAGAGTGAGTTTCGCACACAACGCCACGGCCCCCTCCGCTGCCTGCTGCCCTCCCTCCTCTCCTTCCTCTCTCCCGCGGCTCCTGCTGCTGCTTGCCCTCCTCCTTCTTCTGGCCTCGTGTGTGTGTGGGTGTTTGCGTGTGTTGGCGGTGTCCTGTTCCTTCTCGCCCGTCGTTCCCCTTCGTTCTCTCGTCGCGTCGTTGCTGGGCCGTGGCCTAGGATTGAATTGGGGGAGACTTCCGACTTTCTTCTGATGCGAGCCTGCCGTTGGGAGGATGGTGCCCATGTAGGCCGTCACGGGCCGTTCCCCATTGGACGGTCCTGCTTTGGGCCAGTGGCTTCCCCCCAGCGGGGCTGCAGGCTGTAGCCCGGTGCTATCCGCAGATCCTTATACATATCATGTGCTCGTTTGCTAAGCGTCGCACGACAGTGGAACTCACCAGGGTCGTAAGCGTTCCAGTCCAGTCCAGTCCAGTCCAGTCCAGTCCAGTCCTCCTCCTCCTCCTCCTCCTCCTCCTCTTTCTCGTCCTACTCCTCCTCCTCCTCCTCCTCCTCCTCCACCCCCTCCTCCTTCTCCTCCTCTCCCTCCCTCCCTCCCTCCTTCCCTCCCTCCCTCCGCCTCTCGGAGGCTCTCTTGGCCCCCAGAGACGCGCTGCGGGAGGCCTCCCAAGAGGGGCGCGGGTCCCTCCCAGACCTCCTCCTTCGCCGCGGCCAGAGAGTGGCAGAAGGTCTCGGCACACTTGCGGCCTCCGGCGGCCCTCGCCGTGGCCCCAAGGCCTGCAGAAGATCGGAGGTTCCCAGACCCCCTCGAGTCATGAAAATCACGACGGGAGTTTGTTTTCATATTTTCGGCCTCGGGGTCCCTGCCGGGCCTCGGGACCTTCAATTACTCCGACGGTAGGACCCCGCACGAGAATCTGTTTAGTTTACCCTTTGCCCTTTCCTCCTCCCCCTGGCGGACACCCTGTCCTCTCGCCCCCTGCACTGCCTTTTCTTCCCCCTTCTATTTCTCTTCCTCCTCCTCTTTCTCCTCCTCCTCCTCCTCCTCCTCCTCCTCCTCCTCCTCCTCCTCCTCCTGGAGCGCCACCTCCTCCTCGTCGTCGGCCTCCCCCATGCCCCTTCCCTCCTCATCCCCCTGCCTTTTCTCCATGTGCACCTCCCCTTCCCCCTCGTCGGGGCAAGCAAATCCATTTTCCTCAGCGCCGTCGCCGCCTCGGCCAGCGCCTCGGGAAGCGGGCCCCATAGGGAGGGGGCTCCCGCCTGAGACTTCGTCGCAATTCACTCACAGACGAGGCTCCCGCTCGAGACTTCCTCCATATTCAGGCCTCAAGAGCCCAAAAGTGACGACAGTTGCACGTTGCAGATGACCCGCTCGGATTCTAACATGAAGCGCGGGCCCCATAGGGAGGGGGCTCCCGCCTGAGACTTCCTCGCAATTCACTCACAGACGAGGCTCCCGCTCGAGACTTCCTCCATATTCAGGCCTCAAGAGCCCAAAAGTGACGACAGTTACACGTTGCGGATGACCCGCTCGGATTACCAACATGAAGCGCGGGCCCCATAGGGAGGGGGCTCCCGCCTGAGACTTCCTCGCAATTCACTCACAGACGAGGCTCCCGCTCGAGACTTCCTCCATATTCAGGCCTCAAGAGCCCAAAAGTGACGACAGTTACACGTTTCGGATGACCCGTTCGGATTCGAACATGAAGTGCGGGCCCCATAGGGAGGGGGCTCCCGCCTGAGACTCCCTTACAATTCACTCACACACGAAGCTCCCGCCTGAGACTTCCTCCAGGTGAGTATGTGAATGAGTGAGCGTGTGACAGAGTGCGAGTGATGATGATGATGATGATGATGATGATGATGATGATGATGATGATGATGATGATGATGATGATGATGATGATGATGATGATGATGATGATGAGTATGTGAGTGACTGAGCGTGTGACAGAGCGCGAGTGATGATGCTGATGTTGATGATGAGAGAGTGTGAGTGAGTGTGAGTGTGAGTGAGTGGTGATGATGATGAGTGAGTGAGTGAGTGTTCGAAGGCAGAAGAGGAGAGGGGGTGGGGTGAGTGTTCCTGCGCGGGGTGTGCAGAGAACACAAGAACCCCACTTTGGATGTGGGGAAAAAACGACTCACGACGACAAGCCGGTCCCGGGGAACGGGTCCAGGCGTTTTGGGGTCGACGTCGTGAAAAATCATGACGTCGGGGGTCTGGGTTCCCAGATATCCAACGTATTGAACAAATCCAGCCAGAGGTTCTTCGCCGTTTTCGGTTTCCAGAGGCCCTCGCCGGGCCGCGGGACCGTCAAAAAACGATTCGGGATGGAAAACTGGTCCCGGGGAATGGGTCGAGACTTCCGGGGGGGGGCGCATTGGAAAAATCAAGACATCGGATCTCTGGGTTGTTGGCGGTGCCCCCTGGCAAGGTGCCCCCAGCTTGTCGCTCCATCTTGGAGCCCCTCGGGCCCTCCCTGGGCCTCGTGAGGGGGGGGCTGAAGGTCACGGAGGGCCTCCTTGGGAGTCTTGGGGGGCACCTGGGGCCAGGGGCACTTCTGGCAACACCCGAGAGAAGACTCCTCGGGACGAGAAGGACGGCCACGGGAAAGGGATCTCCAGACCTCCGCCCCCGGGGGGTCGAGGCGCGCTGCGAAACCGGCGCGACGCCGGGAGGTCTGGACGGTCCCGCTCCCCCCCTCCTACATGTGTATATATATATATATATATATATGAACATGAATATGAATATGAATATGAATATGACTATATAAATATATGAAAGACAGATACATACATATATATATATATAAGACGGTCATCTTGTCTGCGGCCGACCTTGCCGTCCAGGCGTGGCTGCCGCCCCTGCTGGGCTCGGACCTGCTCCAGAAGTCTAGGCCTCCCAAGTGGGGTCAGAGTGGATGGGGTCGGAGGATCCCGCCGCATCGCCGATGCATCGACGATGCGGCTCGATGTGGAGCCCGTGTTCTCCCACGCCGACGTCGCCGACGCATCGCCGATACATCGGCGATGCATTGGCGATGCGGCGCGATCCTGCGACCCCGTCTACTCGGACCCCATCTAGGAGGCCTCTAGAGAGGCTGCGGCGAGTGGGGGGGTGGCGCGAGCACACGAAAAGGGGAGCCAGCCGTGTCAACCAATACTGTCACACGCCAGACCGGCCCAGCCCGTGCCAGACGTTGTTCAGCAAAGAAAAAAATCACACAAACACAATTAATCGTCGATTCCCCAGAAAATATGGGAAAATCTTGGAAGTGGGGGGGAAGACACAAACCCAGAAAATATGGAAAATATGGGGAATCCTGTTGTTTGTGTCTATTTATTTGTGTGTCCCAGGGCCCCTTCGGTTGTGTTTGTTCATGCTTTTGCTTTGATATCTGGTGCTCCTCGTGGCCACGGCCCGGCGCACCTCGAGCGGCCGGTCGGGATGGGCCTTGGGAGAGCGGGCCTTGGGCCTGGGGATCGCTCGTGGACGGATTTGGTGCGCAGCCTTCCTTCGCAGGCGATGTTTCTATCCCAACCCCCGACTTTTCGTCGAAAAATGGAGCGGCTCAGAAAGGAGGGAAACCCTGGGATACACCCCCAGGGGGCTATTCGGACGCACCCCTATCGAGGATGGACGCCCCCCCTCGTATATCCCAGGGTTGGGCCCCAATTTTTGAGGTCCATTCGAGAGTCCCACGAAGCCTGGGATAGGGGTCGACATATCCCCTGTTATTCCTTCTCTGGATCACAAGTTGGGGGGCGGACCTGCGCATCCACTGGGATCGGTATTGGGGATCGGGCTAGGGGGCAGGCTTTTTGCCCCCGGGTGGGTCGAGGGGGCCCCGCCGAAGGCGCAGGAGAGGAAGGGAGCGGGAAGAGAGCGGAGGAACGGGGAGGAGGAGGAGAAGGCGGTGGGAGAAGGCGAAAGGAGGTGACGAGGAGCGAGGAGCAGAGAAGAGGAGGAGCAGGAGGCCGAGGAGGAGCCAGGAGGACGACGAGGAGGAGAGCCTTTTGCCTCCCTCATCCCCCTTCCCTGCAGGCCCCCCTGGCGTCCGCTCCCGGCGACCACGCCACGGCCGCGGCCGCGCCTGCCGGCTGTCTCACGCCGCGGCCGCGCCTGTCGGCGAGGCCGCCGACGCCGACGCCGAGCACGGTGCCGACGACGGCGACGACGGCGACGACGGCGACAACGACGACGACGACGACGACGGCGGCGGCGGCGGCGACTGCGACTGCGACTGCGACTGCGAGGCTGCCCGCGGCACCGACGACGGCGGCAGGCGGCGGCGGCGGCGGCAACGGCGCCGCTGCGAGGTCGGCGTCGCCAGCGCCGCTGGCGGCCACGCCCGACGCAGTGGCGCCCGCCCGCCCGGCCTGGCTCGCCTCGCCGCGCGCGGCGTCCGCCGCGCCCGCGCGGCAGTCAGGGGGCGGAAGATTTGCTGGCCAGTTTGAAGTTTTTTCGTGTGTGTGTGTATGTGTGTGTGTGTGTGTGCGTGTGTGTGTGTGTGTGTGTGTGTTCTCCTATCGGGCACACCGCTTTCCCCCGCCCCTCCTCCCTCCCCCCGCCGCTGCCTCTCTCTGCCGCTGGGCCTCTTCGCTGGGTAGAAAAGAATATGCGTGTGTGCGTGCGTGCGTGCGTGCGTGCGTGCGTGCGTGCGTGCGTGTGTGTGTGTGGTGTGTGTGTTGGGGTGTGCTGCGTGCTGCGTGCGTGCGTGCGTGCGTGCGTGCGTGCGTGCGTGCGTGCGTGCGTGCGTGTGTGCGTGTGTGCGGGTGTGCGTGTGTGCGTGTGTGTGTGTGTGTGTGTGTGTGTGTGTGTGTGTGTGTGTGTGTGTGTGTGTGTGTGTGTGTGTGTGTGTGTGTGTGTGCGTGCGTGCGTGCGTGCGTGCGTGTGAGTGCGTGTGTGTGTGTGTGTGTTGTGTGTGTGCTGTGTGCGTGGTGCGAGTGTGGTGCGTGCGTGCGTGCGTGCGTGCGTGCGTGCGTGCGTGCGTGCGTGCGTGCGTGCGTGCGTGCGTGCGTGCGTGCGTGCGTGCGTGCGTGCGTGTGTGTGTGTGTGTGTGGTGTGTGCGTGTGTGCGTGTGTGCGTGTGTGCGTGTGTGCGTGTGTGCGTGTGTGCGTGTGTGCGATTGTGTGCGATTGTGTGCGATTGTGTGCGATTGTGTGCGATTGTGTGCGATTGTGTGTGATTGTGTGTGATTGTGTGTGATTGTGTGTGATTGTGTGTGTGTGTGCGTGTGCGTGTGCGTGTGCGTGTGCGTGTGAGTGTGCGTGTGTGCGTGCGTGCGTGTGTG